TCTTGGGTCGCTTACTCTCTCTCAGCCTGGAAAGCAGGCAAGGGCAAACCACTCCCAAGAAAACTGCAAGGATTGGTCCAGGCAATTGCCAAAAATCAAGACTCTCTCAAAAGACACACACTTTCCTTACCTTGTTATACTAAATTTAGTGTTCTGCTTGAATTTGTTTTTTAGCTTTAAGGTGAAACTCGAAAAATTAGAATATTGTGCAAAAGTTCATTTATTTCAGTAATGCAACTTAAAAGGTGAAACTAATTTATGAGATACACTCATTACATGCAAAGCAAGATAGTTCAAGCTGTGATTTGTCATAATTGTGATGATTATGGCTTACAGCTCATGAAAACCCCAAATCCACAATCTCAGAAAATTAGAATATTACATGCAATCAATAAAACAAGGATTGTACATTGAACAATATCGAACCTCTGAAAAGTATAAGCATGCACATGTACTCAGTACTTGGTTTGGGCCCCTTTTGCAGCAATTACTGTCTCAATGTGGCGTGGCATGGAAGCTATCAGCCTGTGGCACTGCTGAGGTGTTATGGAAGACCAGGATGCTTCAACAGCGGCCTTCAGCTCTTTTGCATTGTTTGGTCTCATGTCTCTCATCTTTCTCTTGGCAATGCCCCATAGATTCTCTATGGGGTTCAGGCCAGGCGAGTTTGCTGGCCAATCAAGCACAATAATCCCACAGTCATTGAACCAGGTTTTGGTGCTTTTGGCAGTGTGGGCAGATGCCAAGTCCTGCTGGAAAATGAAGTCAGCATCCCCATAAAGCTCGTCTGCGGAAGGAAGCATGAAGTGCTCCAAAATCTCCTGGTAGACGGCTGCGTTGACCCTGGACTTAACACCAGCAGACGACATGGCTCCCCAAATCAACAGAGACTATGGAAACTTCACACTGGACTTCAAGCATCTTGCACCGTGTGCCTCTCCATTCTTCCTCCAGACTCTGGGTCCTTGGTTTCCAAATGAGATGCAAAAGTTGCTCTCATCAGAAAAGAGGACTTTGGACCACTGAGCAACAGACCAGTTCTGTTTTTCTTTAGCCCAGGTAAGACGCTTCTGATGTTGTTTGTTGTTCAGGAGCGGCATGACAAGAGGAATACGACATTTGAAGCCCATGTCCAGGATCCGTCTGTGTGTGGTGGCTCTTGATGCTCTGACTCCAGCCTCAGTCCACTCCTTGTGAAAGTCCCCAACACTTTTGAATGGCCTTTTCCTGACAATCCTCTCCAGGCTGTGGTCATCCCTGCTGCTTGTGCACCTTTTTCTTCCACACTTTCCCCTTCCACATAACTTTCTATTAATGTGCTTTGATACAGCACTTTGGGAACATCCCACTTCTTTTGCAATTACCTTTTGAGGCTTTCCCTCCTTATGGAGGGTGTCAATGATGGTTTTCTGCAAAACTGCCGGTCAGCAGTCCTTCCCATGATTGTGATTTCTACTGAACCAGACTGAGAGACCATTTAAAGGCTCAGGAACCCTTTAGGGGGGTTATGGCTTAATTAGCTGATTAGAGTGGGACACTTTGAGCCTAGAATATTGAACCTTTTCGCAATATTCCAATTTTCTGAGATTGTGGATTTGGGGTTTTCATGAGCTGTAAGCCATAATCATCTCAATTATGACACATCATGGCTTGAACTATCTTGCTTTGCATGTAATGAGTCTATCTCATATATTAATTTCACCTTTTAAGTTGCATTACTGAAATAAATGAACTTTTGCACGATATTCTAATTTTTCAAGTTTCACCTGTACTTCTGGACATATTCAGTAGTTATCAGGAATCCAGTTAAACCTGAAGGAGTCTTTCCCTTTATAAGTTAGGCCAAGGACTGAGCTCAGTAATGAAAAAAGACCTTTCAACTTTATGATGCTAAGACTCACATTAAGCTTTAACCATGAAACAATTAGGATTATAATATTATGGCTGAGATTTGTACTAATTTGTTTCCTCTTGGCTTTGGACCATTGTGGTTTATAACCCATCAACTGTACTTTGTTATAATATATGAACCCAATAAACTTCAGCATATTTCATCAACTATGATTCAAGAAAATAAGATCTTAGAATGATTATGGGGCTATGTGGATTGGGTTTCGTCAAAGAATAATCATTATCCATCTTCAGACATACTTTATAAATTTCACTGAGCAAAATATTCCTGCAAGGTAGACTGATGCAGAACCAGACTTAAAATGATACATATATTGTATTAAGACACAGTTTGAATATGATTTATTGAATAATTTATACTTGTTTGGATTCATAAATCCCAATGAAATATGCATTCACAATTGAACCCTGTCATCTTTCATTCTAAGGAGAATAATTCTGTCTTTAGCTTCTCAATGTTGCATTAATGGATTATGTTATCCTTCTTTTTAGTTATGGCCTGTTTAGATTTAGAGAAACTAATAAATGTTATACGGTAGATGTGAGCAAAGTTACAGTATGCCATCTTTATATAAATGCAGTCTGTTTTCCTTGTTTTAGTAGCTCTTGATTTGTCCTTATGTAGACCTATTTGAATCAGGACATAAAAGAAGCAAGAAATAACCGAGGAGATCATAAAGAAATCATGCATTTCTGCTTGCATTTGACATTAACTTGCAGGTGTAGACTGAATTTGCATATCACACTGAAGTGTAAGGTTGGCTTAGCAGTAAATGCCATTTTTTCTAATTGGAGTCTTCACCTATAAGTGCAGCTAACAAGACTTACATGATATTTAAACCAAAAGCTCTGACTTTATCAACCTGAAAGAAACCAGAAGACAAACACATAGCTTGACCTCTTCATTCTCTGATTTTTTTTATGAATGAATCTAGGAAACTCACTAATAGTAATTAGTAATAATTAATAGTATTATTAATTAATAGTAATAATTAATTAATACTATTAGTATTATTAACTAATAGTAATAATAACTCACTAATCATGTACTCTTCTGACAAGTGCAGTCTGATAGGTTTGCCAGTATATTTGCTTTATCATTTAGTATAATATGCAGGCTGGAATGGAAACAGTAAGCCAGTGCTAAGCCACAGATTCAAAAAGCTGTTCATTAAGTATCTTTTTATACATTACACTAACCCCCAAATAAGTACCTTGGCTTTTTATAATGGATGAATCCACTTCTATTGAACAGAATTTAAAGTACAATAAATACTTGTGAAACTGAAGAGCTTGATATGAAACTGTATAAATATAACTAAGAATCAAAGGAAATTGCACAATTTATAGCATTTTAATTCTTGAACATATTTTACATTCAGTTTAAAATAAGCTGCCAAAATCAACACAGGGAGAAAAACTACTTAAATTACAAGACAAATAAGTAAAATAGTGAGCTTGAATATTTGAATTTACAATACATATAAAAAAAGAGCAACTACAAAAAGAGCTGCATTTTATTTTACAATATATTGTAGTAGGAAATGCTGCTCCTGCATTTCCCAACATTGTGATTGGACTTTTGGGTTTTCAAACAGAAAAACAGAATTTATTTCAGTAAGATTTATTTCAGACTAGACAAATCGAAGTTCACTGGGGATTCTAAGCATTCTTGCAGGTGACTATATCCCATCGAACTCCATGGAACAGATGTACTCAGGGCTGTGATGTATGAGAAATCATAAATCAAACCTTGACAATTTTAGAATTCAGCACATAAGAGCTGGTGGGAATATGTAGTTATATTATTGTGGAATGGCTGAACCATGCGAATTAAGAACCAAAGGTTCTTAACCAAAGACATAATAATGTGGGTCAGCAAATAATGGCATAAAATATATATTAAGATATATTATATATTAAGGCTGAGCTCTTATAAATCATGACACTTATTCTATTATTATCAAGAACACTATTTCAGCCCTAGAGGCAAGTATATTTATCTAAATCTTGAAAAACATAATTATATTACTTTCTTGCTAATAAGATTAAATGATATAAACAAGCAAAACTAAGTTCCTTTAAGAAAGATAAAAAAAGACCTTAATTATGCTGTGGGTTCATTTTAAAGCTTACTGGACTTTAATTCAGGAGCCATACCCTTAAGTATGGATATGAATAATATTAAACATATTAGGCAAGATGCACAGAAACTGAAATATAAGCGTTGTCCTTTGTTCAATTGTATAAAAAGGTAAGATAAAAAAAGTATTAAAATATGGTTTCACAGTTTTATGAATACAATTTCGCCATATAACCTATTCAGTGAACAGGTAGCCAAAGTTTTAGTGATAGCTAAGCAAAATATCTATCCTCAATACAATAATCATCCTTCTAATAAAGATCCACAGTCATTACTTTATCAAGATATGTTGTGTCTTTGGCAAATATATACACAAATCTATTCTAAGAAAAGATTTTGTTTACATTTGGATCTCTGAGATTTCCAGTAGTCTTCAAATCTCTCAGTACAAAAAATGATCTAAAAAAATTTATCCTTGCTTATTTTAAATCCATCAACAATTGTTACCCATCCTTCAGACACTTCATACAAGCAGCTTGTTCTTTTAGGAAGAAGAAACAGAAAAGCGCACAAAAAGATGGGCACAAAACCAAAGATGCATGGGGCAAATCAAATAGAAATGAAGAAAAATGAGGCATGAAAAAAAAAAACAGAGGAGAGACTAAATAGAGAAAAAGGTGTAGGACAAAACTATAGAAAGAGTAGGAAAATTTGGATAAGCAAGGCAAGAAGAGCTATGAATGCAGATATCAATAGGTACACTTACCAAGCATCTGCAGCTGACTTTTGGTTATTAAAATACTGAAGTGTTGCCGTCTCATTGCAGCTGTTGGTGCAAGAGTTCCTTGCTTGAGTGAAATGTTATTTCAAGAGCTCACAGGCTGTATGTGCAGGTGGTTCTCTCGGGAATCCATTACAATCACTCAGCCTCTCAACTGTAAACCACTTCTTCTTTTGGGGGAGGAGTTTGGGGGCTCTTCCTGCAACAAAACAATAATAATAATAACAGCAGATTTAAAAAAAAAATCCCCTACAATAGTTGATGTTAACCACCAGCAAAGTGAATATATTCTATAGTATTCAATGTATTCTTTTCCCATCATTTTTGTGAGGATGAAAATTTTTGATTCCTGCAGAAAAGTCTTTAAAGCTCCTTGGTGTTTTTATTTTTTCAATACCCTCCCCTTTTATTTTAAGAAATATTCACTGTTTAAGAATGAACCATACAGGCCCACTTCTTTTTAGGAACAAACTTGTGGCAAATCTGTACTCCAGTAGAGGGCTCTCAGACATTAGAATCATCAGGTTTGCTGGGCTGCATTTTAGAAACCTAATCAAATAATGAGTTTTGTTGCTTCCGATTCAGACTCAATGTCAAACACCATGCCAATCACTACAAAAAGGAAACAGTAATTGTAAACAAAACATGTGTTATTATTTCAACATGAGATCCAAAATCAGCTTTTTTTGAGGCTAATGCCTCCCTTTCCTCAGTTAGAACTGGTTCCTCTAATGATAACTCTTCTTAATGATAAACTGCCATCATTAATGCACCTAAGTCACATTGAATTTTTTTAAAATCTGAAGTGTACCAGCATTATATATAAAACAAGGACGCTAGGAAGGGAAACAGAGCATTCAAAATTCTTTGGATATACCAGGAAAAGTAGATTCAAACTTACTAATCTTTAAGTAAGTAATTTGAAAGGTGGTGAATGTGAAATGAGTTGTGAAAAGCCATTTCTAGCTTATTCCATAAATCATGCACCTTCCTGGAACTATCAATGATTCTTAAACTACCTGTGCTTTGTGCATATGCACGTGTAATGGGGTATGTGTGTGAGAGAGAGAGATTGGGGATGGATGGATATTCTAACCTTTTAGAAGTTAATTCATTCATTTCGCCTTTCAACTTCTTCAAAATCCCACCCATTGACTCTTGTTTTTCTGTTGTGGAATTTTTTTTAAAAATGCAACCATGGCAATGTCCTGATCTTATGGGATGTTGAACCAGGCAACAATAATTTTACTTTATCTGAAATTCTTCAAGTTGTTCCTATAAGTTCGAGCTATAATTCTTGGTACCCTCACCCAGCTTGCTGACTAAAAATTCTGACAGGTCTCACACACATCTGGAAGTCTTCAAGGGAATAAAGAATGTATAAGCATATCTATGCTCTTATCTGATAATTATTATTTGAATATCTGTTTTCTCATGAAACAGTTTTAATTATTATGGACAATTGTTTTGAGTTAGTTATTTCAAAGTGCTTTCACATTGAGCTTTCTCTTTAGTAAGTCATGGGAAAGAAGAATTTTAGGGCCAAATCTGTACTAAATCTCTCTATATAAAAGCGAAATACCACTCACGTATCATCACAAAATCTCCAGAACTGTAAAGCCTACAAACTTGAAATTTGGCACGTATGTTCTTCTTGGTTTCTAGGTGCTCACTAAGAAAGGATTTTTTAAAATGACCATCATGGCATTAGTATTTCGTATATTATTATTAACACACTCTGATGCTAAGGAGTTCTACTCCCCCTCCCCACCTGAAAAGAAATTTGTTCCAAATGCAAAACACAAACAGAGCAGAGGAGTTTCAGTTTTAGTTTCACAGCACCAAGCAACTTTAGTACAGAACAGTTGAGCTAAGCCATGCCCAGACTCCTTGCTGTCTCATTCTTGCTCACACAGCAAATACTGTTTCAGTTTCCAAACAGCCCTGAACTCTCTCACACACTGACAGGACACTAGCCAGATGAATTCCTCTGGTAGACAGAGGAAGAATTTCCCCCTTTATTTTCCTCCCCCAAAACTAAGCCCGATCACATAGTTTCGTAGCGAAGCACAGGTACCCTGCTAGTATTTATATAAATAATCATTTTTTTTCTGCACTTCACAGTATGACACAGCATGGTATGACCCAGGCCAATTCCCATGGGATCCCCAATATCAGGAGTCATTGCAGAAGCAGTCCTGCACGAACTAGAACACTGTGCATTTCAGAACAACACACCTAAATTTTGGTGCTGCTACATGGACGACACTTTTGTCAAGAGAAACAGCCAATAATTTAATGGCCAGCCATCAACACCCCAATCACATCTAAAAAGTCAAATACAACCATGTAAATACCACACACAGAACAACTCAAAGCACACACTCTGCTAGAGAGAAGTTTCCTGAAGATGGGCTCCAGTATGAGTCCGAAAGCTTGGAAGACAAAACCGCTGGGTCTGGTGACTGACCCAGATTGGATCCTGCAACATTATCTTGGGATATGTATATTCGACTTTATTGACTGTTTCCTGTCTAAAACTGAAACACTATTATCTTTTAGAAAATGTTAAGATATCTTGGAAGTATATTGCTTGTAAATAATCTTGCTTGGGGTATATTTTATATCTCTGGGACATATATAAAAGTGGCGGAGAGGGGCCTCTGAATCTGGGAGTTTATCATTTTGGTCTTGGACTGTAGATGTCCTATACCAGGCAGATTTGGTATGTGATTTTCTTCCTGACTCACGAGACTTGCTCAAGGAGCAGGTGGCAGTTGTGGCTCGAAGAGCCTTTGCTGTTGTTATATGTCAGTTATTCCCTTTCCTGGATAGGGAGGCTCTTTGTTCAGTCACTCACATCTTCTATTTGGAATATTGTAAGGCCTTCTATATGGGGCTGCCTTTGAAAAGTATTTGGAAGCTTCAGATGATACAGAATGCAGACACACAAAGAATTTTGCACATCCCAAGGATGATGTAAGTAATGCCTTTGCTTGGGAGCCACATGAGTGCTGGTTTGCTTCCTGGCCCACTGCACATTATTGGTTATTACCTTTAAAGCTCTACATGGCATGAGGCCTGATTACCTGTAGATCTGTCTTTGCCTCATTACATCAGCCTATCCCACCCAGTAAGGCAGGGAAGATATGCTGCTCATGCCATCAGTTTGAGAATTGCAACTGGTTGGGCCCAGGAAAAGAGACTTTTTTTACTGTTTGGAACATTCCTGCCCCAGAGGCGAGGCAGGTCCCCACTGTCCTGGCCTTTCGGGAATGCTTGAAGATCTGGTTTGCTTGGAACCCATAGAGAAACACATAATATGAGGCTGATTAATGTTCTAAAGGCCCTCCCTTTCCTTTTTAAATTCTGAATAATTTTATTCTTGTTTTATCTGTTATTATTACTGTTACTACTACTATTATTTAGCCTTTAGTTATTGTCTATTTGTTGCTCTATGAAGGAGACGGGCGGTCTCTCAATGTGATGTATAAAAGTATAAATAATCTTCATTAAACCTCAAAATCTACAGAAGCTCTGAGTGCCCCTTCAAACAAAGCCAGTTGTCATTCTTAAATGTGGAATAGCTTTGCCAAGGAATCTCACCTGGCACCTATTTTATGAACATTTCAACTTCAAGACCTTTTTAAGTCAGCAGCCTTTGATTGAAACATGGAAAATAATCATAGTATTTTAAACATGTACTCACCTAATCTTTATTTGGAGCCAATTTGGAGAGATAACATGTTGCATTTTAGTATCTTATTATATATCAGAGGTGGTATTCAGCAGGTTCTGACCAGTTCTGGACAACCAGTAGCGGAAAATTTTGAGTAGTTCAGAGAATTACTGGCAAATACCACCTCTGAGTGGAGATTTTACAGTATCCTTCCCCTGCCACGCCCACCAAGCCATGCCCACAGAACTGGTAGTAAAAAATGTGAATCCCACCACTGTTTCATATGGCTTGGGACCAGGTTCTCTGAAGGGCTATCTTCTTACGGTTACATCCACCTGTCCCACCAGAGTGGAAGACAGGGAATGTTGTGGGTCCCTTCTACCAAGGAGATATATCTGGTAGACCCAGAAGACAGGCCTTCTCCATGGTGGCTTCCTCCAGAGGTGGCATTCAGCAGGTTCTGACCAGTTCTGGAGAACAGGTAGCGGAAATTTTGAGTAGTTTGGAGAACTGGCCAATACCACCTCTGACTGGAGATTTTACAGTATCCTTCCCCTGCCACACCCACCAAGCTACATCCACAGAACCGGTAGTAAAAAAATTTGAATCCCACCACTGGCTTCCTCCCTTTGAATGTCATCCCTGCAGAGATTAGATTGGGCCCTACATTGACACTCTTTCACGATGCTCTAAAGACCTGGTCTTGCCAATGGACCTGGGGAACCAAGTTGGAGTCCATCAAGTGACTTATCTGATTTATTGTTATTTTTACTGGTTGTATGTTGGATTTTTATTTTTGTAAGCTGCCCAAGGTCATTGAGAGTGAGTGGGCGGCCACATAAATTCTCATAAAAAAATAAACAATTTTATTGTTTTGCTCAAACTTAAATTGATTTTCTAAGCCTGCCCAGTCTGGACATCTGATGTATTCATTTAAGCTTCAATCAGGCTTCAAACAATAAATAGAAAAATGTTTCTTCGTGGGACAATATTGCTTTTCTGTTGATTTCAGTTATAATTTATAACATTAACAGAGCAATGAAAATTGAGTTGAAACTAAGAAATTGTATTTCAGTAACTTTCCTTTTTTTATTCAGTACTTTGGAATATCCAAGAACTTGAGGATAACAAACATTAATGTAATTAAAGAACTAGAATATTTGGTTTCTTTGTGGTTTATGGGGAGATACTTTATTTTTGAATTGGTTTTATCATTATTGATTTTATATTCTTCTTTCCAAAGGATTTGTTTCATGTTTCTGAATTGACTAAAATAATGGTAATTATTGTGTATAATTGATTTGTTGGTTCTCCTTAATTATATTTAAATGAATCTATTTGATGGACTGCTATTAATATATCACCTCATGAATATATTTATTATATTGAGATATAAAGTACTGCATACATGTGCTAACTTTATTCTTTTCA